TGAACCAGAATTAATTTCCTTGGCTGAAATTCGGACTTATTATCCCTTTTCTAAAACTCTTCCATTTGCGACGGATGAGCCTACCTCGGAAATTCCTAGTTTTTGAGTAAAATCCATAGATATATTTCGTTAAAATCTTGTAGAGACGTATTCATCTATAGAAATTGCCCTTTGGCATGTTTGGAGACGTATACAATCTTTTGTTCCCTATTGTGTGCACGTCTCCAGAGGGCACGGTGTATCAGCCGCATGTTTATGTTACATTGTGTACCTACCGTAGTGTGGACATTCTTTTGTTTTTGTGAAGTTAAGAAAAACCTGTAAAAAAAATATTTTACTCACACTGTGAAAACTCTTTCAACCAGAATTTTTTTCTATGATTCCCTTTAGCGTTGCTTTTCATTTTGCCACAAATAAACCTAACCCAAAAATGCCTCTAAACCTGTTTTCCAGAGAGGGGGATACACTGTGTGGATGTGGGCAAGCCCACACAATGTTGCTGCAACCTGGTTTATATATGGACATCTTTTGTTTGGAAGTCCACACAGTGAATGTAATGCTTGTACAGACACTAATGTCGTGATGAGTTTGTTTCTGCATTCAATAGGGCACGTTGAACAAAAGAGGACAATAGGGTCCCCAATTCCCGAAGGTCCCCAATTTGGCGTTCGTGTACAAAATACATGGGAGCTCTTCCTAAAAAGTGCTAACAAACAAAAGAGGGACAATAGGGGGTCCCCGATTGCAGGCAAATACATTGTGTGAGTGGGTGCGACTATACACCTTGACAGGTGGATCAAATCGTCTACACCAACTGCGCTACATTATGAGCCATGTAATCGCTCAGATACCACATGTAACGACCAGTTTGTTTGTTAATGCGCACATCATAATGGTGCACCGGGGGTGTACTTTGCCAACACGCAGTTGGCGATGTCTCATTACCAGTGTAGGATTCAAGGATGCTCATCGCTGAGTGAAAGTCAAGGCTTTGGCGGCTTGGATGTATGAAAAGTGCGATCACCTCATCCGTCAAGTTGTCATCGGCAACACCTATCCCAGAAGCCTCTCATGATTAAATTACACAACGCTTTTATATTTACACTGACTCGACTCTTTAGTTTAATGAACACCTCAGAGCATCCTATATCGTCTGTCACAATAATTATCATTTATTGATGTCAGCCAGTCACGCAATTGATGAAATTTGTATGAATTTGGTTCTGTTGTCGGTTTTCACCTCGCAGTTTATGCGGCGCAAGTACAGAAGTACGTGCAATCGTGCACAGCATTGTTTGTCATCGTACATAGAACGTGTGGGTTACATGCACCATTTAGTACAGGCAGAGTAATGTTGATGTAGATGATGCACAAAATGTAATTTTTCATGTTCATACAAATTTACATACGTACATTCATACTTACCTTAAAGGGAAAATACAACATTTGCAAACATCAAAAAATAAAATTACCAAATCGTTTTGAAATACCTTGCTGGACTGTTAGTGAATGACAGTGTAAAGCATCCTGTAAAATCATGGCACCTGGTATACTGTCATTTTCAAGAAAAGTGGTATTTTTGTATCAATTTCCAATGCTGATCGGCCGATCAGCGTTGGAAACAACTGGCTTTTTTTTCAAATACTGGCCCCAATTGACCATCGCACTTGTTTGCAATCGATTACAAACCTATGAACGGGTACGAGCCAGCTAGACTGGTTCCCTGACCTTACAATTCCCCAACGATGTAAACTGCTCTGTTTCTTCTTATATGGAGTCAGGGAACCAGACTACAGGAAAATGATTGTTTTTCTTGGTTTTTATAGCATTTTCGAACCCAAAACCTCAAAAAAGTCAGTTGTAACTACCGGTATATTTGCTACTAGTATATATTTCCAACCCCCCAATTCCATTCATTTCTGAAAATTACAGCAAAAGCAAATGATGTATATTCCCTTTAATTATCATAATGAAATCATCAATGTGACTAGAAAAGGTAATGATCATCTATCACTTGGTTCATTAGATTGATTTGTTTATTTGATTGATTTGTTTATTTTATTGACAAAACGATCAACACATTTAAATCAAATGATGTACATACATATTCTTGGGCTTTTATCATGTTAATTCCACAGCAAAATCGTAGTTTGAATTTTCAGCTGAATTACAAGAAACAATTTAAATTCATGCCCTTCTGGGTATTTGGGCTGTTCCTTAAGAAGAATTCCACCAAACCTTTCCTGTTTTTCCACTGCAGAAGCCAAAAAGTAATTGACCGTAATTTTGCTCTATTTCTAAACACATGGATGTCTGTAGCACAACGTATGCAAATTTGTGGTTTGACGTTTACTGGAAACTACGGCCAAATGATGGATATATTGGTTCCGCATGTTGGTTTTTAATACAAAACATCCATATGAACATGGCATCATAAACAGAAGTTCTCGAGGCGAAATATATCAGGCCTCTTGCATCCACTGCCAAGGAAGCAACGGCATGGCAACTGTATCCTTGGACATGCTAAATAACCATGGCGCCAAAGTAACAGAATTCCTATTGATTGATTGTCCCTCGTGGGTTACCCCTCCTGTTGGATCTGGGTTCCTCAACCTTTCGGGAAAAAAATGAATGCAAGATGGGCCGAATGCAAGAGCGGAATAAATCTGGGGGATATTGGATTTTCTTGAGGAGAATCAGTGGGTGTGTGGGAGGAAGCGGGGGAGGGGGGGGGGGGGGTAGAGGGAAAGGGTTGGGTTCCCAATGTGATCGTTGAAAACACACGGTGACATACATGTACTTCAGATTAAAGTTGAATACTTGAACATGTTGAAAAGGCTGTAAACAGTTTGTACATGTAATACATGTGTAAACTACATGTATGTGAAGAACGTTAAGGAAAAAGATGAAATAGAATTAAGAAACTATTAAAATATAAATGCAGTACTACATGTACAGTCCTGGCCATTCTCTGATTATCGGCACAAAATCTTAAAGGGGCACTAGGTCCTGAAATCCCCGAAAATGTTATGTTTTGGATTGTTTACTTAGCCTATTTCAAACATCTGGTTGAAAGGAAACCAACCTAATGTCTTACCGATCCCGAGACATGACGGAGTACGAATACGTTTTTCGTGTTGTTCTCAGTGTACGATATACACGTTTCAAGTGTGTCTTGGGAACAGCGGTGACCAATCACCATCAATGCAAAAAAAATGGTTTCTTCAACGTCCGCAAAAGGCGAAAACTTACGAATGAAATCACAACTACATGTAGCATCCAAACAGCTCAAATTTATGGGGTCGCAAAAGTGGACCCCGAAATTCGTTCTCGCACGCATAATACAGGAATAACACAAAGCGCGTTTTGTAGCCCAATTGGGCTGTTCCAGGACCTAGTGTCCCTTAATAAACCCAAATTCAGGGGTGCACTTTTACATGTACAAAATCCCGAAGCAGAAACCTGGATTCAAGTATGTACATGTACAAGTACATGTACACACCCATGTTTGTTTTACATACTCTATGTGGACATTCCTTTGTACAAAAAATAACTTCACTTTAAAGTTTAACTGTGAAAACTCTTTCAACCCCAATTTGTTTTTTGATTTCCTTGAATGTTTCTCTTCATTCTGTGACGGATAACCCTAACTCGAAAATGCCTCTAAACCTGTTTTCCGGAGAGGGCAAAACATTATGTGGACACGGCTTAGTCCACAGAACGTCAACACAACCTGCATTATGTGGACATCTTTTGTTCACATGTCCACATAGTGACTGTAATACAAACTCATGTATACAGTTACGGTATTCAGAAAAATGCAAATTTGGAAAAAAGACAAAAACAAAACAGATGAACACTCTAGATTCCCAGTAATACAAAACACTCTATCACTCCCTTTAGCATAATCCTCCTACTAGCCTGGCTAGCAGATCTCTCCGTTACTCACAAACAACATGAATGCTCCTTGGTCATGATCTTGAGACATTCTCAAGGTTTGCCCACCCAGGCTATACCCTGACGACAACCTGCCGCCATGCTCTGGCCGTTAGTCTCATTTTGTCTCATTCTGGGACCGGGGTGAGTGGGAGCCAGCGTTGCATCTTCAATGAGGCTGCAAACCGCTGACTTCCTGGCCACCCTAAAAAACATTGTTATTCCGATTTTCTGATCTATTTTTTTCCCTCTTCCGATTTAAGCCGTAATTTGATTACAGATGGAGAATAATGTCTCCGTTTGACACTTGTTAGTGTGGTAATGGGACGTTTCTTAATGAGATGCTGAGATGGATACTACAGTACGTATTCAATGTATGAAGTACATTTGTACTTCTGTCGTTTCTACATCGATTGGCAATGTGTTTACTGCAGTCTTACATTGTAAATCATCATACGAACATGTACCGGTACGTTTAGTTGGGGATAAGACAAGGTTATCAATGGTTATAGGCCTACAATGTACATTGTACATGTATACATGTACTAGGTAATTTACCCAAAATATAGGCCTGATAAAATTTACCCAAAATATAAAAATGTTGGTTACTTTCTAAAAGGTACATGTAAGTATGCATTCCGTTTATGATATTTAAACCATGCTTTAAAATTGCTGTGAATTGAAATTTATTCACTAGCTCTTTCATCAAAAGTACCATGAAACTTCAACAATTTATCAAAAACAATTCTGGGGGAAAAAATGGGTCGACCGTATACGAGAAACCACTTGTTTTTCTTTTCCTCTCGGCATCTCCGTTTTTTTTCTCTCTCTCTCTCTGTCGCTGATGAAGTGATCAGAGGAGGAAGTTATTAAACGAGCCAGGCACCACCAACCATCCGTGGGGTTGCAGACCCATCCATCCATTCACCAAGCGAGGCGCCCCACGCTCTGTGATCGTTACAGACCTCAAGCTCCGTTTCTTCAGTCCACTCCCTCTTTTCAGGCATTTTAGTCGGGTTTCTTGTCGTGTTTGTCTCATGATGGATTTGTTGCTTTATTTTCAGGCCTTGAATCCTGGATTGACCAAGACAGTTCTTCCTGAGGTAAGCGAAGATTCGTTTTTATTTGGGAAGTACGGCAATTACATGTACAGTGTATTCATTAACTTCCAAGCCTCATTTTTGTTTCTTGAATTTTTTTTGTTTTTTTTGGGGGGGGGGGGGGTAGTCTATGTAATAGACCCATGGCAAATGCCATGGGTCTATGATATGTGAGCAGATTCGCTGATTAATTAGGCAAGACCCCGCCTCTTGACCTCCTAGATTTTGACCAATCAGTGGGAGCTTTCTGTATTGGGTCTTCGGTCATTCACCCGTTGCGCGTCGTAGACAATGGATTAAACAGCCCTGTGTCACGCGCTGTGTATATCATGTTACGCAATAACGCGCCCGGCTGTTGTTACATTACAAAACGCTGCATTCCAATTGACCAATCAAACGGTTAGTCTTGATTTGGGAGTGAAATGACGTCACCGTATTAAGTAAAGTCGACTCCGATTGGCTGAGGCGCGAGATCGCATAAATCTGTATGCTTTGATATATCAGACGTTAGACAGGAGTCTGGGCTCCGTGGATAACGGGTGATACTCAGACTGGGGGGGGGGGGGGAGGGGATCCTTACAAACATTAATGTTCCGGACCTTATCTTTAGATAAAATAAAGTACATGTATAAAAACTTTTGAAGCATGGCGGGTGCCTCAGAAAGCATGGCGGGGCACCAGGGTATTTTTACAGGTTGGAGAACACTGATTATCATGATTATGGGAAATACATGTATGAAAAAATAACTTTGGTAAAAGAATTTTTCAGAGAAAATTTAGAAGTACATGTACAGTTCAATTTTTGGTTGTACCGGTAGTTTGAGAAAATGTAGGGAAGTTTCCACGTTAGTGAGATCATTTTGAACGAAACTTGTACAATTGAATATTATTTACAAAAACGGGAATTTTTTTTTTGAATGTTGCAATTTACATGTACATGTATGTCTCATGTTCCCATTGTATGCATCATGGATTTAGTCATCCTACATGTACCGGTAGTACATTTTAATTATTTCAATTGCCCTGTTCTCATTCTTTCCATCCTCACAAACGCCACCCACATCCCCCGCACACAATTTCCTGTTCCACTGCGCTACCCCACTTGTGCCCCTAGTAATTATATCCCACAATTCCGTACCATCCTGAGGAGTGGGTCATGGGAGCAGAACCCACAAACTCATGCTAATGTTTCCATCATGCCGCTGGCCGTGACATTAAGCATTCATGGCCACACTCGACCCTTCCCGCCCCCCCTCTTGCCTCCGCCTTCAGTCTGTCAGCAAGCAGAGAGTTTAATAATCGGCAACGATGGAAGAAGGATAGGGTTACTTCTGAAGGGGGGAGGGGGTCAGCTTTGAAAGAGGGTTTGGTCCGTGAAGTTACGCTGCGTGCTAGTATTGAGAGGCAGTACTGCTGTTTGAGAGGGATATTTGATGAGATTGCAGATTGTCAGGATTTTGTTCATGTGTGTCGGGGGATTGGAAGAGGATTAGCCTTGGTCAAGCCTCTTGTAGTTATTCGTCCCAGCCGTACGCGGTAATCAATCTGCGGCATATCCTCGCGCGCTATGCAGCGCATGTAAACAATAAACAGCGCGAACAGCGACCTCGTGCGGCCACTATTTTATGCAAATCAGTTGGACCCGATCGAGAGCCTTGGTTCAGTTGTCCATGTGAGGTTTTGGGGGTGGTGCTCATTATGCTATTATCCTAAGCTGACCTTAAATGTCGTTTTCTTATTGGTCGATCGTTGCGTGGCAACTTGCATAGCGGTGAAACGTGGCACTGTACATAATGCACACACATTGTGTGTCTCTGCACATGGCACCAATGCACAAAAAATGTGGTTTCTGTCACATCCGCAAAAGTTGAGTAGAGCTCTGCAAATACTTTGATGACGTCAGGATTTATGAAGGTGTGATTGGACACTTCACATATTAGCCCCGCCTACACTTATCTGTATTCGCATACGAGGTCGTGTGCTAGAAATCCAGCGCAAAATAAAGAAAAACATAAGCTTTCGCCGACGATTGAACCAAGGCTCTCGATCGGGTCCAACTGATTTGCATAAAATAGTGGCCGCATGAGGTTGCTGTTAGCGCTGTATTTTTACATGCACTGCATAGCGCGCGAGGATATACAGTGTATGCCGCCGATTGATTACTGTGTATACGGACGAATAATGATAAGAGCCTTAACCTTAACAAAGGCTAGAAGAGGATGGATCTTGGTAGGCTGGCATCTTGGGATGAAGGTGAAGACGCTGCATTGCACTTGATGATCATACTTCAGGACATTTTTGAGGAGATCATGGAAAGGCTAAAATGCAGCTATCCATGTAAAGTACGAATGCATGTTAGGCTATACATACATGTCATACATGTACCTGTACACTGTATACATACGTGCATTCATGCTTATCACACAGAGTGTCCCCAGAATCGAAAAATGTCAAGCTAATTCAAACCTCCAACCCACCTTTTTGGCTGGCCAGATTTTTTTTTAAAAGTAGACGCTCACTTTAATACATGTACGAGGTGACAGAAAAGGAGTTTAAAAAGAAAATTTCATCTGTATGGATAACGCTAGAGGGACCGAGGGATTTTATTTGCACAGACTTACCGACCGGTACATGTACAATAATGCCAAGATCCTCCGTGCAAAGTAGGGTAAGGACTCAGAAGCATCTTGGGAGAGGAGAGCGGTTACGAAGGTTGCCTTGTAAACAATATGTCAGACAAGATGCTTAATTATACCATGCAAGAAGTGTAGAGTTCGGGGTCATACACGTACACTGGTTTGCTCTGGGCAACTAAAATCCGATCAGTCGCCGTTCATCACCCAAAGACTTGGAGATGATTAGAGTTAGCGGGTACTCGGAGTGTGTTTGCTCGCTTGGGGAAGGTGGTGAAAGGTTCCGTTTGAACAGCAGGACTTGCGACCACTGACTTGGCAGTGTCTGTGGATGGATGATGGGGGGAGGGGTGGGATATGAGGGGTCGTGAATAGTTCAGAAATGTGTGCTTGCAAGGCTGGGAGAGCTCTAGTGTCCCCTGTATACATATGTATGTGTACTTTATTGGGAAGTATGAGAGATCTGATACACCGTGCCCTCTGGAGACATGCACACAATAGGGAACAAAAGATTGTATATCTCCACAGGGCAATTTCTATAGATGAATACATGTACATGTACGTCTCCACAATGGATTTTACTCAAAAGTAGGAATTTCCAAGGTACCGGTACATGTACCGTATGTTGATCTGTTGCAAATGGTAGAGTTTTAGAAAAGAGATATTAAGTCCGAATTTCAGCCAAGAAAATTAATTCTGGTTAAAACAAGAGCATTTTGAAACTGTACTTTCAAACTCGAAAACTTAAGTACACGAGAACAAAGAAATGTCTCCACAAGGATACAAATTTCAGTATGAGAGTACCAGAGCAGATTGTTTAAACGTCTTGAAAGTTGATCTTTTGAAAATCTGTGTCCTTTCCAACTGACTTTTGTCATGTACACTTGATACAGAAGACTTCTTGTTTTAAACAAATCATCGGTCACAACACAAAGTGACGTACAATGTATGTATCATGGATAGTTGCCCCACCATAGAGTGACATATCGTGTGCACAAAGTCCATAGACTATCCATCACTAGAGTGATTCGACAAAACACTCATGTATTCATCACTTTGTGGTGCACTTACGGTACACGTGTAACGACATGCATTTTGAATGGCATACTAGTGTACATGTATGTTCGGCTTGATGACATACCGTAAGTCCTTTCCCATAAAACAGTTATGGAAATTCGGGCGATTCACAATGCAGTGCGCCACCAAGAGTTTGCCATGGAGAGTCCAGTTTTCTAGTTTACGGTCGACAAAACATGGCCCATTTGAATGAGTGTCAGTAGACATGGTAGACAACTTGAACTAATTTGTTATAGATTTGGGCATAGCGTTCTGCCGCCTCACAAAAAAGCCCCACATTGATAAAAAGAAAACAAAAAAGCAAACAGATACTCGAAGCATACCTTTATGGAAAAACGAACAATTTCAAATGTCCCGCGCTGTGAATTTGTCGATCATCTCCCACAATGCACTGGGAAAAATGAACTCTTCGGAGCAAACTCTTGGTGGCGCACTGCATTGTGAATCGCCCGAATTATTTGACGGAGAACCTTGTCCTTCACCTTTTTAATGCATTACATACATGTACTTATGTACCATCCCATATTGTACCCAAATATCTTTAAGCATACAAATTAAGTTGTACTACTGTACATGTAGTTGTACAGTACATGTACATGTATACTGACGTACATGTACATTGTGTACATGTACAAGATGCTCCATAAACCGTAAACTTATACATTGTTGGCAGATTCTTACAATACTGTACATTGTACATGTACCTGAATGTAATTTGCCAAGCAAAGTTGATGTCTCAAAAGTATACTGGTACATTGTTTCAAGATAAAAAAATTGATTCATGCCAACTCATGACTCAGATAACATTCTGAAAAGCTTTTCTGTCTTTGAAATATGAATTTAGTCATCTCCCAGCAGAGAAGATGACTTGAAACTTTCGCAGTGATGGAGTGTACTCCGTGCATCATCTGTCACGTCTTATTCCTCCGCTGGGGCTGGCAGTGCCCCTTTCGACACTACTTTAGAGGATCTTAAAGCTTTTAGAAATCCCAGAGTTTCCTTCAACGATTGATCCCAAGAGAGTGTCCTTGAAAAAAAAAAATCATTTTCCGTAAGGATTGCAGAGACCACGAGCTGAATGCAAATTTATGAAAGTTTATTTATTTATTGAACCTCCGAAATCAGGTGTCTAGTTCTGAATTTTATTAGTTCCAATCATCTCCAGCCAATGAAAAATTCCTGGACCAAATCCCAAGTGTTTGAATGTATGCTTTGAGACAAATTCTTGGCAGTTTTCTTGCGTGATTCATGTGGAACAAAAAACTTTAAATGTGTCTTGAGTGTGTTCAAGAA